CAGAGGTGGAAAGATAAGACATTACCTACAGTGGAAGAACGGATGGTGAAGTTGATGGAGTTGGCTGAGATGGTGAAATTGAAAGCTTTGATTCAAGATAAGACATTGTGTAATTTTAATGCTAACTGGAAACCATTTTTGGACTTTTTGCTGGAAACGGTTATATGGATTTGATGATTAGAAATAATATGGGTTAATAGAAGTAATGGAAGTTATGTTTTAAATTTAGAGTAAGAGTTTGATGTATGTTGTCACTTATATCTGTTGCAAGGAGGGTCAGAAGTCAATTACTTTTCTTTTGTTGTTTCTTCATCTTTTCTGCAGCTTTGATCTTTACTATTTTCTTTTTTTTTATTTTAATTTTCTTATTCTTTCACTCAATATTAGTTTTTGTTAGTTTTTACTGTTCCTTTTTTTAAAAAAACATAATAAAGTTATTACAAAAAAACAAAATATATTTACCAATTAGAATAGACCTTCCACTTACTTTCCCAACAATCCACTCTGGCAATTCCATGAGCCACGTACCCATCCCTCCAAATCCATCCGCACCTCCCACTGAGGATATCCTGGGAGAAGAGGAAGTTTTGGACATGTGTGGCAGCTTCTTTTCCACCTCCCCCTTCTCCTCCTGTGGCCCTGGATGAGGAGTGGCAGACGCTTGTAGAGACTGAGGTGGAGGCGGGGAGGGGGTAGAGGTAGAGGCTAAACAGAAGCAGGATGGGGCAGGCCGCTTCCAATGGAAAACAAAGGGCATATCTCCAAAATGTGACGGACATGTGACTGCCTTGTATGCATGCCCAGGACGTGTATCAGTAATAAGTATCACTGTTGGGTACTTGCTGCTTCCCTGTTAAATTTCCTGGCTTTGCTGGAGCGACAGAATAAATTTTATGAAGGTCATGCCTCAGATTGTTTACATGTATGCATATTATCAGTTAAATTTGCAATCAATGTGTCTTTAGCTTTTACAAAAGGTAAAGCTGTCTGGATGTGTGTTTGTGTGCACGTGTGTGCATGTGTATTTCAGGCTAAAATTTGAAAACGTGTCTTTACAAAAGGCAAAGCTGTCTGTGGTTTTCACTCCACTTAGGATAAGGGTTGTTGTTTAGGGTTGAGTTAATCGTTCTGGTCAGCTGTGGTTTAAAAAGTTCTTTTTTCCTGTTTTCGAGGGAGCAATTTAAAAACTGCACAGAAATAAAGCCTTTTTAGAAAAGGGGGGCAAAATACAGTCTGTGGCTGCATTTTAGGATCTCATTTTCCAACATCCAAGGCACTGATTTTAAAACTCCATGCAATTAAAAGTATCATTAGGCTATTATTTATTTCACAGTGGACAAATAGGGTTTGGTTCCCAAATACAGCGCAGCTTAGGGTTGTTAATCGTACGAATCCACATGTAGGTCTAGGTTTGGTTAGCTAATTACACAGTCTAGGGCTGGCTGCCACCCATTTCTTGATGGGATTAGGCTGAACATGTCATATGGGTCATGACCTGATGACATCATATCCGGTTAGGGTCAGCATTACATGGGCTTTGTTTACTTTGATGACATCACTGATTAAATAAATAGGTAAGCTGCTGTTAAATTTAGTATACACTATTACTGCTTAGAGGCCAATTACCACAATACCACATGCATTGTTTGAACTTCTTGACATTTCTCATGCTTGTTAGGTGTCTGTTACTAAACGAGTTCTGCTAATCACTGCAGCTAGCACTGTTCTTAATTGCTCTTAATAGTCCAATCTCTTAACCACTAAACCCCATTAGGATGTTCCCTCTGCCATTGTTTCTATAATTTTCTCTGCTTTTTTTGGTATGTTGTTGTTGTTGTTCAGTCGTTAAGTCGTGTCCGACTCTTCGTGACCCCATGAA